CCGTGAGGCGATAGCAACTGATACCTAGAGACCTTGAATGACATGACATGCATCCACTCTTTGTGTTCTCTCAAATTTTAATCTTCTGAATTCTTCATGTTTCCTTTTTTTCTCTTTCCAAACCTGTTTCACTGGACTATACTCCTTGAATAACATTTTCAAACCTTAATCTTTCTGATTATTGCTTATACTTTTACTACCTCTACCACTATGGAATTTGAGTCGACAATTGTATCTGTGTGCTAATGTGGTATGGCAACTTGAACTGATGTACGTACGTACGAAGTTCTACGTTGTTGCTGACTGACTGATATATATATATATATATATATATATATATATATATATACCCATTGATGTTTAAGACTTTGATTGATCAGTTTCTTTTAGGATATATGGATTCTGTGCAGATTTGCTCGATATTGCCATTAAGTCACAAAAATTAGAAATGGATGATAGCCAGAAATGGAGTTCAAGATGTGTAGTTCTTCCTATTTGAGACTAATCAGCTGAATATACCTACATTTTAGAGTTGATATTCACCTCGGGAAGCATGCATCCTTGATTCCACTGTTAACCATTATCCATATCTGCTCATAATATATATGTTTTTATAGTTCAAAACCATATTAGAAGGTCTTTCAATGCCACTTCATTTTTTGGTTAGACGAATTTCCCAAAGTGAACTTGTTTAGATTTATTAATCAATATAGTGTCTGAAGAGATTACGAGTTCACCTAATCTAAGAACGGCACAAAAACTCTGTGATACAATAACCAATCAGCTCACTATTCTGATGCGTCCCAGTGTCTTACTAACTAGAAAGAGAATTCCAAGTTCGAAGGAGGGGAATATATTTCACAAGCAATCAGAAGCACCAGCAACAGCAACAATAAACACAAAACAAGCGTATATATACAACACAAAAATGTCCTTGGAAGACGGTACAAAATAAAATACTAAAAGTGATAACAAACTAAGAGGATTTAAGTTCCTCTCAAGTGGGAAACACGGTATGAAGGTGAAAATGAACACTTTTGGCGCAAAAACAAGAAATTCAAATTGTTAAAATAGAATTACAAAAATAAGGTATTTACCAAATGAGTTCTGAAGATCTCACATCCCCAACATATAGGGAATCTGTAATCGCGCGCGAGACTGTTAGGTCCCGAGCTCGAGTCCAGGGCGGGCGGGATCGTGGATGCGCACTGCTGAAGAGTCTTATACTAGGATGAAACGGTCATCCAGTACTTCCAGGTTTTCCATGATGGTCTAGCTTCAGTTGATTCATGATCTCAACTATTAAATTAAACCGTTGAATGTTTTGCATTCATCATTGGACATACTCAATGATGAATACTTCAAGATGTGTTCGAAAACATTGAGGGGTCTTAAAAAGTTATTTTCTCCTTGATGCATTCATGAACCAATTGTTAATTACAAAAATAAACCCATTTGAAGTTCGATCCGAAAGAATGTATTCTACAATGTTCTTTAAGTTTGATTGGTTACAATCTCCACATCAAGTTCAGTGTTCACAAACAAAATCTTTTACATGATAATGACATAAATTCTTTGAAAGACTTTTTGTTTACATTTCAAATTTACTCTCATTCATCTTCAATTATGCGATCAATGAGAAAAATTCACTTGGTATTGTTTACTTGAATCTTTTCATTGATGTTTAGGACTGCAATTGATCAGTCTCTCCCTTATTGGCATAAGCAAGTGGCTGTCAGGACTCAGTAGCTAAGTGGATAACGCGATGACGTTTGAAAAGACCGGTATTTGTTTCAAGTCCCAACGTGAACGCCAACTTAGAGAGTCAGGTATATCCAACTGGATTCCACTACTAGTCACTATCTGTCTTTGCTTATGTGAAGATATGTTTGTTGTCGCCTATTTTTTCCACATAAATAAAGATTGCACCTACTTAACTATCTTTTTTTAACCTCCTGTAATTGGAAAGTATCTCTCTCTGTTCTTATTGGATCAAAATTTGGAGCCTTACCATTTTGTAAACTCAACAGAATGGATCAATTAGAAACAAAGAAACGTTAGAATGATTGAGTCAAATCTGTCTACAGTTTAATCTATGTTATATACTAACTTACTATGAGGAAGTACGAAACACAATGGACGGCTTGGATGGAGATGAACTATGTGAACTTGTTAGATGACCCAGCTCTTCTATCCCATACACATCAACAAATGTAGACGAAGACAATCAGTGTAGTAGCAGTCTCTGCATCAATAGACCTAAACGTACACCACGGAAAAGCAAGATCTTGAAATACAACACGGACAACACTAATCCAATCACACTTGATAGAGAAGCTCTGGAACAGGTGGAAAACTTCACGTACGTGGACAGCATCATCGATTAATAAAGAGGATTTGATGAGTATGTGAAGGCACAGATTAGCAAAGCAAGAACATCATTTCTACAGTTGCAGAACATATGTCTTCTGTGGATAGTGGTTTCATACTTGACATAGTTGAAATGCATTAATCACAAGTTCTGACAGAAGCTCAGAGTTATCACCAGTAAACACATAATCCTTTCAAAAGTAAACATTTCATTGATTCAAATTCACTTGTTATTGTTTACTCGGATCTCCCCATTGTTATTTAGAATTGCAGTTGATCAGTCCCTTATTGACATATATGCATACTGTGCGTATAGCCTAGATATTGCCTTAATTCACAAGTATTCTAAGCAAAAATGGATAGTGGTTAGCAGTGGAAGACATAATGCATATTACGTCCTATTTGGGACTCGTCAGCTAGATGTACCTACATCTCAGAGTTGATGTTCACTCTATAAATCGAACTCAGTACTGTTCGTTTCAGGACTCAGTAACTAATTAGATAACATAATATCATTTGAAGCGAATATTACTGAGTTCGAGTCCCATAGTGAACATCAACTCTAGGATATAGGTACTTCCAACTGAAGAGTCCCAAACAGGACGAAAATCTCATCCTAACTTCGATTGCTAACCATTATTCATCTTTACTTATTTTCATTGATTCATAGACAAATTGTAAAAGTAAAATTTATTGGAGGGAAAAAACTAATCATGTTCAAACCTTATCTTAATAGTTGAGATCATGAGTCAATTGAAGCTAGACAACCATTTAAAACCTGGAAGCACTCGACGGCCGTTTCATCCTACTATGGGACTCCTCAGCAATGCTCATCCACGATCCCGCCTCGGGAGACTCGAACCCAGGACCTGTCAGTCTCGCTCGCGAGCACTTAACGAACCAGACCACTGAGCGGATGCGCACCGCTGATGAGTCCCATAATAGGACGAAACGGCCGCCCAGTTGTTATGTCCTTCGGTCTGTCTACCCGCTTTTGGTGCTGAGGATACTTATCTAATTCAGATTAAGACCTTGGCGCAATAGACTGACCGACCTAACCTTGAAGCTAGTACGCATGAGTTTGAAGTGGGGTAGAGAGAAAACTATTCTATCACCTGATTGGCTGACAAGCACGCGAATGAGAGAAGACAAGACAACTGGAACATTACTCGATCTATTCCCGATATCCTGATTTCAGCTCGGATTAGTGTAGAAAAGTATATGAATAAATAAGTGAATAACCCGACCACAGCGTACAATAATTAGGAAAAATACAATTATGTCCAAAACTGGGAATTAGGGTAGACAGTAAGGTGCAAAATATTATGTTTAAATTATAATAGCTTCGGAACAAAAAAGGGTATGGCAATGAATCATACATCAAACGAAAGCTTACGTTCTGTAGAATAAGTTACGAAAAAAATAAATGTCAGTGTTTTACAAGCTTTGAATAAAATGAAATAACTTCCCGGAAAAAATAGCTTACGTAGTTTGTTAGAACTTCTTGTTTTCTTGTTCACAACATCAATGCTTCCAGATTTTCCATGATGGTCTAGCTTCAATTGACTTATGATCTTAACTATTGAAATTACTACAATCTTCACAAAATCCTTTCTGATACTTATCTTAATAACATGAAAGAACAATGAATAAATAACCTCCCCAGCAGTGCGCGCAGACCACCCCGAACCCAGGACCTACTGGTCCCGCGCGCGAGCACTTAACCACCAGACCACTGAGTTGGGGTCCAGCGGTGTTAATGTCTAACTTCAACCAATCCACGAAGTTGAACTCCACTGGTAACAGCTTCTCACTAGAACTCCAGGAGTATCTCCTGAAGTCAGTCACTAATGAGCAGTTGATTATTATCAGAATGGGTTTTGTGGAGATTTTTAGAAATTTCACAGGTTGAAATCATGAGTCAATTGAAGCTAGACCACCATAAAAAAACCTGGAAGCACTGGAGGTCGTTTCGTCCTAGTATAGGACTTCTCAGCAGTGAGCATCCATGATCCCTCACCCTGAGAGATTCGTACCCAGGACCTAGTGGTTTCTTTATTTATCAACTGGTTAAATGAATTATTTTGCTAAATTCTTATTGGTTATTTATCTTATATTAGTTATTTTTGAATTAACCAATCATTTATTTGTATTTTTATGAATTCAATTTTTATTGGTTAATTTTTATTCCTATTAGCCGATTCATTCAATAGAAAAGTACAGTATAGAATTGATTCACATAAATATGACCTTTATTCGGACAAATTCGAAGCACTTTCAATTGAGATCATGATGATGATGATGATGTGATCAAGAATGAAGTATTTTGAATATCAACCATTTGACATACATAGATACATATATATATCTATTCCTCATATTCTATAGAGATACTTTTACTTTAGGAAGAAAAACACACACACTTTCCTACTATCCTTTTCTTTTAAGGATTAAGATTATGGAATCATACAACTCGAATAAAAAAGAAGAAGAAGAAGAAGAAGAAGTAAGAATGTAAATGATTGATAATACAGTTGGCAACTGTCTTTAACTATAGACAGTTGTATAATGATGATAGTAAATAGATATAACTCAAGTATAAATTCATTCAATTATTTTTGTTAGTTAACATGTCAGAAGAACAACATATAAATATAAATAATGAATATTGTCCAATAACACGTCTATCTTATCCATTATCTTATTTAACTGGTATAAATGAAGATATACGAGGTGAATTAGTACATTCTATTATTGATTTACAACAACAACAACAACAACAACAACAACAAGAACAATCTATGAATACATGTGCAGTACCAATCAATGTATGTTGTGTTTGTTCTAATGATGAAAATGATTTACAATCATTACATTCTGATGTTCAAGTGTTATGCGCTACTCCAGGTTGTAAATATAGTAAGTCCAATGCATATATACTACATTTATTTTTGAAAAATTCATTTATAAATGGATTGATATACATGGAGATTGTTGAATTCTTATTGTTTTAGATCATGAATTGATCTTAGTTAGATCATTATTAGATACTTGGAAGAACTGGATAGATATGTTATCCTAGTAAAATGTTATATTCTTATTTTCTTCTGTTATTAACATAGGTATATTGTTCAGGAATATGATTCTCAAACATGTTTTTCAAATAGTATACTAATATTAGTAAAACTGTGGTGAATAAGAACATCAGTGGGGATAATTGAATGTGTTCGAGTATAAAATTACAGAGCATCTCATGAAAATCTGAGAATCATATAGTAACTAGTTAATTTGCCAAATATCAATCCATCGTCTCAAACTTGACTGTTCCCTTTGCAAATATCAGTCCATCATCTGAGATTTCATTGTTCATGCATTTTCATATATCAATTGCATTCTGTTTCCGTTCTTTTCTTCTTGATCTTCTACTGAAATACATTCTATTCTTGACTATCGTTATTTACTGCTTATGTGGATATAAGTAGCTCACACCACAAAACATTCTTATTTATGGATTTAACACTTTATTTTTAAAGATTATCTATATGATTGATTGATTGATTGATTTTGGCTAGGAAAAACTATTGAGAAAATCATGGAGCACGAGATAAGTGTTTTATGCTGGTATGGAACTCATTAACTAGTACTCATCAATGATATCACCACAGATTTACCCTAATAACTTCTGTCATAATAATGAATCCTTAATTTGTCTCATATCTGATATCGTTGTATCACACTAACCAAATCTCACAAGAACCATGGGATTGTAGAATATTGAATGTCAACTCAGTGGCCTAAGGATTATAAGTTTATCACGAGACTAGAACTTATTGAACTCATCTTGTGGAGGTATTATTACTTTTCTATACTGTTGAAAAGTCTTATAAGAGAACATAAAGCCTGTCCAATGATCACTGAACTCCACTGATACTGTAACTAAGGTCAATTCGTGACGAATATTACCTACAAATCCAAAATAATCTTCAAAAAAATCCCTACGTCTCAAATGATAATTGGAGATTCATTAACAGACCTATAAGAAGAGAAGAGGAAAGCAAACAATATCAGTTATTTTGTTAAGTCCATTTAATTTAAAATGATTTTTGAGTTACCCCTTTACTGATATTCATGATTAAGTTTTGATCACTCTTATTTGATCTATGTACATCCTGTACGGATCGCCTTACTGTTATCCATCATATCACAAGTTTATATAGAATATATAGAATGTGGTTAGCAGTGGAATCCAGGATGTAAGTTTCGTCCAAACCATTACAAATTAATGGAAAATTCATACCACTCCCATATGTAATCGGCTATTCGGATTCAGTAATTAGGTGGACAACACGTTGGACGTTTGAAGTCAAAAGTACTGGGTGAAAGTCAACTCTAGGATGTAGGTACATTCAATTGACGAATCCTAGATAAGATGAAATGCGCATCATGAATTCAACTGTTAAATATATTCTATATATTTTCCTTTATAATTACTGATTTTCTATTTTCTGTTTGTAAACTGACCTTTCAATCCTAAAGTTGAATGTTTTACCTTGTATCGATCAGAATGGTTTCTTTCTATTTTCATAGATAAAACCACATTGATTATACTACGTGATTATGTTGATGCAGTTTTGTTCTCTGAACTGGATAGTTTGGTTGTGAAGCTTTCATCGTTCTCCTGAATGACATCATCAGCACATACTTCTATCTGTAGTTGATAATGTCGTTCAGAAGAACAATGAATGCTCCACGATTAAACCATCCAGCTCAGAGAACAAAACTCTATCAAAATCATCCGTCTGAGCTACAAATCTTCTTCACGCGATTAAGTATCTAAAGAACGGTTATAAACATGTGTTTCTTGACTTTCTCTCTTCTTTTAGCATGATCAGAAGATTTACTTGTAACAACAATTTTCTCATTTGTAATTCAGTTACTAAGCTTTAAGCTACATACCCCCTTTATGTATTCGATTATAGGTTATTGATCTTATTGTAAGTAGGGTTCAACTTTGTAACTAAATGATTGAAAGCTCACTATTTCATGCCCAATTAATCAAATATCTTTAACTTTTAAGTTCCATATGATATTTTTAATGGTAAATGAATGATTGACCGACTGAACGTAGTTTACTATTGAGATGAATCCATATTATATAACAGTATTAGGTGTTAATTAAAGTCTTTAATTAGCAGTTAATTAAATTCTATTTTATATAGATTTTATTGTGAATCTTATCATTAAAACATAATGAATGTGTATTATTGATGAGGTCTAAATTTCGACAAAACTACTTATTATCACAAGTATTCTTAAACAATAACTAGATTCTTCGTAGCATGAGGGGGGTATTTGTGGAGTTTGTAGGATTTTTTCAGTCTGCATGATGAATTGATCTTATCTAGATCATCATTGGAAAACTGGATGCACTGGACATTTGTTTCATTCCGATGTCGAACTCCTCAACAGCACACAACCACGAACCTTCACTGTAGAACAAAAATAGGATCAACAGAATTGTATGAGAATGCTTAATCCCTAGACTACTAAGCCGAAATCATGTGATGTCCAAGTCTAATTTAAATCAATCCACGATACTGAGCAATCACCTCCGATTTTTTTGGTACCTTACTCATACTTGATATAGTGTGAGACTGAAGATCCTAGGTTTGATTTCCTGTGGTGGAGTCATGAATAGCCACTACTGAGAAGTCTCATAATACGACGAACTGACCATTCGGGATTCAAATTAAGAAAATTTACTGGGTTTACCGAAGATTATGTGTTTTATGGTACCTTAACAGTATATAGAGTTCATTTAATTTATAGTATAGAGCATCAGTCACTGTTTCTCTGTTACTGATAGCCAGCTCAAACTACTCAGCGACCATTTTCTTTCCGAATGTGCATTTATTGTCATAAATTTTCTTGTCAGTCGCGTACGCTTACACACTCATAAAATGTTAACAACTACAGTGATTGGTATATTGTTCTGTTCATCTTTCCTTTAACAAACGATTAGCTACTGAAAATAACCAATAATGAGATTTCTCTTCATGCAAATGTACAGTGGGCTAAATCAACTAATATCTACGTTAAATTATAATATATTATAAACTCATTAGTGACTAGCTTTAAGATGGATTTCCTGCAGTTCCAATGAGAAGTCGTGACCAGTGGAGACTAATCCGTGTCGGGTGTGAGACAGTTATCCACCTCAGACAATGGATGAAAGGTTGTGTAAGATCATGTATCAATTGAAGTTAGACATTAACACCGTTGGATACCGTCTTAGTGGTGAAGAGTTTAAGTGTTCGCACGCGAGCCCGAAGGTCTTGTATTCGAGTCCAGTGTTCAGTTGAGCTGTTATACCTGGTCGTATCATACATGACTTTCAATTCTTCGATAGGATTTATGTCTTTTTTTAACTGTAATTCTAATGCTTAGACTTTCGTTACTACTGTTAATTTTCACTTACTTTTCTGGAGTGTGGTGTTGTAATTCGGGCAGTTGTAGAATCATGATAGACCTTACACTAATAATGATTAACTGAGTGACTGATAAGATCATTTGTGTATGTTTAATGTTTAGAAATGAGCGTAGTTAATTTTGTTCGAGTTGCTTAGACACAAGACGTACTATGATACTGCCCGGTCACCTAAACCGATCAAGGTTGTCTTCTTAAACAACTACTCATCAACCCTTTAATCTAAAGGTCTAATCCATAAGGTAGTAGAAGAACTTATAAAGATCCCTGTGTATAGAAGTTGATGATCAATAATAGGTTTAGATACCATTTGTTTTCATCGAGATTCTACAACTTTTGCACACTATTAGTTTGAAATTAAGGTGTTCGAACTACTGTACATGTACTCTGCGTATTTATCAAACTGGGTTAGGCTCCAGGTGTTCGTATTTTATCATCTCATTTCGGTAAACAGTACTACCACCACGAGAAGGCAGTAAGCAGGACTTCCTTAGTAGAGGCTATAAACATATGATCATATGAGAGCAGTTCGTGAGGGAATGTTGATCCTTTTTACTCTACGGTATACTTGATTATTTGGGGGTTTTAATATTTATGGACCATATGTCTAAAAAATAATTTAAATGACTTTTTATCATGTTTGTAAGCCACAACTAGAATCTTTGTTGTAATTTGGCCACTTACAATAAAATAATCTAATCCTATGATCAATAAAGCTTATTCATAGCTATTAAGCTTTTCATATTCATCAACTTGAAAGAATGTAGAGAATTATAAGCAGAGATGGATAGTGTTTAGCAGTGGACGAGCGTTTCGTCCTACTTGAGACTCATCAGCTGAATGCATCTATATTTCCTCTTAAAATAATAAGACTTACTACTTATAATCATAAAGATTATATATTAATAATGAAAAGTGAAGTATCCATTATGTGTTTTCTTTTCTGTAAACATTCACTTTATTGAAATAGTAATGGTAATATTAATACTGTTGATAATAATCTTATTACTATGACCTTAGGCACAGTTGCTATGGTTATTAAATCCATTGATATTTATTTTGTAATTTGGTGTTTATCCATGTTATCACCATTATTATTATTGCTATTACTACCACTACTATAAGGTGATACACTTTACTTTCTTACGGTAAAAACAACTTTTTATTGTATAATGGAGCCCAATTCTCAATTGTTAACATTAATATTGGAGAAAAAAATGTTGTGTTTTATTGCTTGTCTAGTTATATATTGGTTCCCCCCTCAAGTTTTTTTCAAGGTGGTCAACAGAAATGTAAAGATAGAGTGTGTGTGTGTGTATGTGGTAGAGGGAATGATAAGTCTATTACTTATCAACCAGATATATATGTAATATAACACTAATTAATATATCAAATAGGTCTGGACAAGTACTTCTTTTGATATTGACTATGTTCATTATTCTTATGAATGGATTGATTCATTCATTCAACCACCACCACCACCACCACCACCACCACCACCACCACCACCACCACAACCACCACCACCACCACCACCACCACCCACCACCACCACCACCACCACCACCACCACCACCACCACGACAACAACAACAAAACACCATACACTTATCCATTTTCAATTATACAAATTAATATTTTTTTTGTATATTTGTTGTTAATTACTAACCCTATTAGTAGGTTTCATTAAAAGAAAAAAACGAAATAAACAATTTACAGATTATCCATAGCTTAAGTGAATAGAACATATGGGTAAATTTTGGGGGTTATAATTTGTATACAATATAATTATGCTATAAACTCACTTAGCAACACTAGTATGAATGAGATTATAATTTATGGACAAATCAATTAGTTATAAGATAATTGATCTCGGATTTTTGGCATGAAATTTACTCATCCATTTGGTTAAATAACATTTTGGCATTTTAGCTAATGTCAGTTCATGATGAAAACCCTTAATCTAATTCTTATCCTTTACCATCAATTGTAAATTATAATCCTTATTGTTCAAACTGTTTTATAATCCTCTTTAAGTTTTAGTAAGTAGATAGACATTTACAAGGTCAGTTTGGCGTTGCTCAAATGTTGTCCATAATTTATCTATCTAGCTAAGTGAATAACGCGATGGGATTTGAAGCGAATGGTACTGGGTTCGAATTCCAGAGTGGATATCAACTCTCTAAGGTGCAGGTACATCCAGCTGACAAGTCCCTAATAGGAGGAAACACACGTCAAATTGGATTCCACTACTAGTCACTATCCATCATTATATACACTTGTATTGATCACCACCCAGTGATCAATCAATTGTGAGTACATCTCAGTCCTACAGCAGGTCAGTCGTGCCTTGGATAGCTCAGTGGTAACGTCTCTGACTGTGAAGCTGGATGACACAAGATCGAATCCGTCAGGGAGCACCAGTTCCCTCAAGATGACAGGTACACCTTGCTGACGAGTACCAAGTAGCACGAAACCCGGATCCAGGGTTTCCTGTCGACTACTTCCAACCACCATCTAAATCTTAATACACTTGTATTCTTTCAGTATTCTAATTGATCAATAAATAAAAAAAAGTACAAATTATATTTAATTCATTTTATATTTTGGTTACAAAACTAAATATTCCCATTTTTTAACTGAATGTACTTCTATTGATCATGAGATAGAAAATGGCCTTTACCCTAAAAATAAAACAAATTTAAGGTCAATTATGATTTGGTTTCTTTCTTTCTCTCTTTTTTGTTTTCCTTTTTCATTGTAGCTTTGACTCTTCTATTTTTTTTCTCTAGAAAATGTTCTTTGTTGTTAACTTGTCCGGTAAAATTACTTTTTTTTTTCTAGGTGTGCGTTATGCGTATATATCTATGTGTATGTGCGCGTGTATGTTCTGTGTGTGTGTGTGTGTTTGTTTGTTTGTTTGTTTGTTCTATGTATGATGTCATCTAGTCGAGTTAGTATATAAGTATATATATGTGCGTGTGTACAACACACATATGTATGTCAGTCATACTCTCTTTTCCATAACTAGTGAATTGAATCATACATGTCTGTTTACTATTTTTTTCTCTTGTTATTGTGATTAATGACCGGTCTATACAAAAAAAAATTTGAATTGACCAATAGAATAATTGCGATATTGAGTTTGTGTCTATCATCATATCAGTCAGCCTAGATTTAAACCTAATTTGTACATAATGTGGGTTTTTTTTTATTTGTTTTTTTTGAAGGTCATTTTTGTAATTGGTAGGTAGCAAAGGGTCAAAGGCTAAATATTATGGTTGCCAAAATATAACCGATTAACAGTAGAAGTAAACAAGATGATTCATCATTTGGGTGTTTTGTCCTTTTATTCATCCCAAATGTAAGGTCATTCATCTTGTATAAGATAAAGAATTGAATAGGGGATAAATATAGAATATTTAGATGAAGTATCCACTTTTTTGTTGTTGTCTGTTGTCATGTGCTCACTAGTGAATAGCTTCGTGAGAAAATTCTCGAAGTTCTAGTGAGAAGCCGTGACCAGTGGAGCTAATCCGTGTCGGGTAGAAACAGTACAATAGAAGATGGTCGCACAACTTTGTGGATTGGTTGAGGTTAGACATTAATACCATTGAATGCCGGCTCAGTGGTTCAGTAGGTCAAGCGTTCGCGCGTGAGACTAAAGGCTCTGGGTGCGCACTGCTGAGGAGTCCTATGATAGGACGAAACGGCCGTCCAGTGCTTCCAGGTTTTCCATGGTGATCTAGTTTCAATTGACTCATGATGTCAATGAAAAACTTAACAATCTCCACAGCCCTTAAACTGATATCTTCTTTTCTTTATTCTTAAACAGATGGTCCAATACATAGAAAGTGTTTAGAACATTGGGATGCATGTTGTGATTTCTATTGTCATTTATTAAATAATTCATTCAATAATTCATTACTACAAAAATCATCAACATTTGAAACAATTTCAACAATAAAACCAACAATATCATCATCATTATCATCATCCATTTTATCAAATTTCAATGATTCACCTTTACATAAATCATTTATGGAAGGTTTATTTCGACTTTATGAATGTCCAGCATGTGGTCAATATACATTGTATAGATCATCAATTCATTCAACAGTATCTTCCACTTCTAATGCTACTGGTAAGTGGATATTTATTTATTTATTTTAACACATAGATATTGGTACAAGGAGGCACCAAATAGATATGCACCACACAGATCTCATTTGATATGTTTGAGGGCTGTGATACTGCCCGGGTGACCAAACAGAAGCAGGTGGTTTTCTTAGGGGGCAACACTCGGAGCCTTCGACCTGAAGGTCTGATTCACAAGGCAGTGGAGCATCATGAGGAGACGTAGTTCTATGTTGGCCGGTGACCAACGATTGGTTCATACGCCATTTGTTCCCTTAGGAGCCTGGAGAACATGTGCACGATTGGTTCGGAATGAGGGTTTTCCAACTCTCCATGTCCACCAACCCGGTTAAAGCGTCGGACATTCGCTTTTCGTCCACTCAATTCCGTAAACAACACCCGTGGTGCGAGCAGGCAGTGAGTAGGACTTCCCTGGCAGAGACTATATACGCGTGGTCATGTAAGAGCATTTGGAGAGGGAGAGCGGACTCTCCCCACTCTTGGTCGGATCAGGGCATTTGGGGGGGGGTATATTATTCTTATGATGACAAAAATATAAAAAAGGAATTTGACCTTCACAATATTGTTGTCCTTGAGTAATCGCAAAAAGGATCAAGGCGTTAAAATGTTCTCTCTTACCAATTATTCAACAAATGACTGGATGATGTTTGAGCTATACTACAGTGCTCTTGAGGGACTCTAACTATTTCCTAGGGTTAAGAAATAGTTATAAATTAGCATGAAAAACTAGAATTGGGAGTTAGATGTTTTGGTTAAGAACTAGGATTACAGTCGGGAAATGGAGATAGACATGAGAAAAATGAACAAGAATTGGATGGAATTAGAAAAGAAGGCCCAGGACAGAGTGGGTTGGAGAATGCTGGTCGGCGGCCTATGCTCCATTAGGAGTAACAGGCTTAAGTAACTAAGTAAGTAGGATTACAGTCTTCGTCTTGAACTAGCATTATAGTGAACAAGAACACGAGTGGGGACAACCGAATATATTGGACACGACATTACGGAGCATCTCAATAAAATCTGAGAATCATATAGTAACTAGTTAATTTGCCAAATATCAATCCATCGTCTCAAACTTGACTGTTCCCTTTGCAAATATCAGTCCATTGTCTCAGATTTCATTGTTCATGCATTTTCATATAGCAATTGCATTCTGTTTCCGTTCTTTTCTTCTTGATCTTCTACTAAAATACATTCTATTCCTGACTATCGTTATGTTCTACTTATATGGATATAAGTAACATATTTTATTGTAACACCGGATATTATTGGTTTGAATCTCATGGAAGGCATCAGCTGTCTTAGCATTAGGGATAAGCAGATGTTAAGAGTAAAAATTGATCGAAAAAGATTTTTGTACCACTTATCTTCAACATCTCAGCATCAAAACTATACTGTTAATTCATTTAGAATGGTCGGGACATTGTAGCTTGATCTATGGAATTAAACTAGCATTAAATATCACATTAGCTACTAGAGATTGACTAGTCAGAGTTAAAAAGAAAGCATTTGAAATTAGCTAAGTATCCTACAATAACATATTTCGCGGAGAATGTAGTAATTTCTGTAGTTGAGATCATTAGTCAACTAAAACTAGACCACCATGAAAAACCTGGAAACACTCGACGACCGTTTCATCCTATTATGGGACTCCTCAGAAGTGTACATCCACGACCACGCCTCGAGAGATTCGAAATCAGGACCTATCAGCCTCGCACGCGAGCGCTTAACCATTAGACCACTGAGCCACCCGGCATCCAATGGTGTTAATGTCTAACTTCTAGGTTTTTCATGGTGGTCTAGCTTCAATTGAATAATGATCTCAACTATAGAAATAATCGGTTTACTTACAAATTGCCAAGTTTTAATATGGATGAATAGAGAACAACAGCTGATCAAACTACTCATAGCTATCACTTTACAATAATTTATTAACAAAATCATTTTTCACTCTTTTTTCACATTTTTGTCCATAAAAACTTGTTTACTTCTTTTGTTTGCAAATTTATTCTGATTCAAGGACATTGTTGTCATGAAATAGGATCATCTGATAATCATTATGCTGTAAACAATTTGTGCGCACTTACATAGATACATACATACACATATAGATATTTTTATGTTGTATGTGTGTGTGTGAGAGAGAGAGCGTGAGAGAGAGGGGGGAGTAGCATAGTCAAATATACAAACAATGGAAGTAATCACCTTGAGAAAAATATTTGTAAATTTAAATATATTGACGTTTACCTAGATAAGGTAACAAGATAGAAATGATGTGTTTCTGAGTTAGATACTTTGTCATTCACCAGAAATCTTTTTTTTTATATACCTAATTATCATCCTGTCAGAGATGTGAATGCTTTTCCGACCTAAAAAGTAGAATATTTTCTGAAGAAGGTTATTGTTTATAATATTTAGCTTCGAACATTATATACATATGTTGCAAATTCATTTTTATGGTCCTTTTGAGGTTTTTGAACCAAGCTACGAATTCCCTGGTATGGCCGAGGGTGGGAAGAGTCAGCTCTTCCTCTTGAAGAGTTCTTACATGACCACGCGTATACAGCCACTGTCCTATTCACTATAATCTCGCAGCATTACTGTTGTTTATGAAATTGAGAGGACGAAAAGTGAATGCCCGGCGTTTTAACCATGTTGATGGATACAGAGGACCCATCTAAGGGAGTTGAAAAACCCTCATTCCAAACCAATGGTGCGCATGGGGTCCAGTATCCTGAAGGAAGAAACGGCGTACGAACTTATTGTTGGTCATCGGCTACCATGTGACTGCATCTCCTTACGTTGCTCCACTGCTTTGTGGATTAGACCTTTAGGTCGAAGGCTCGGGGTGTGACTCCTTGAGAAAATCACCTGCTCCGGTTTGGGCACCCGTGCAGTATCACAACCTACAGACAAATCAAGTGACTTATGTGGCGCATGTGTATTCGATGCTCCTTTGCACTAATATTTTTGTGTTCAAATAAATAAATTATGAACAAAGGTCAGTTCAAAGAAACTTTCCAACTGTGCTATATCATATATCTCGTTAAACTTAAAAAATCATTAGTATGGGGGTAAGTGGAAATTGTAGTAATTTTAGTAGTTAAATTCATAACTCTGTCTAAGCTAGATCACCATTGAAAACCTGTAAACACAGGACAACTGTCTCGTCTTATTATGGGACTCCTCAGTAGTACACATACACGATCCTGAACACCGGGCTCGAACCCAGGACCTTTGGTCTCGCTTGAGAACAATTAGGCTCTACACCACTGAATAAGCATCTAACAGTGCTAGTGCGTAACTTCAATCGATCCATGATCTTGCATAGCCCGTGACCAGTAGAGTCCAATCCGTGTCGGGTAGAAAGAGATATCTACTTCAGATAATGAATGGAGTGTCACGCAAGATCATGGATCGATTAAAGTAAGACATTTACGCAATTCATTACCTGCTCAGTAGTGTAAAGGTTAGATGTTGACATGCGAGTCCAAAGGTCTTGAGTTCGATTCCGTTGGATTCGCACTACTGAGAAGTACCATAGTGGGACGAAATGGCTGTCCAGTGCTTACAGGTTTTCAACGGTGGTCTAGCTTACATCGACTCATGAATTCAACTACTAAAAACTTAGAAAACATTCAGGAAATTTATCAAATCTTGAGATCCATTCATGGACATTATTAAAGATAGCATGTTTCATCGAGTCGATAATAGGATTCAATGAGAATCATGAGAAACATTGAATATGTGCCGTCTATTCTAATTCCAAACAGTAGATGAATCCTACTAGTCTATCTACACACTAGGTTAACCGGCTTGAGATCCTGAATTCCTAGTACTTATAGGAGTATTTCTAATGATGTAATCAAATATGAAATAAAGTCCTAGTAACAAAAATAATGCGTTTTAAAGGGAATAAGATTTATGTTACCTAGATTTTGTAAATTTGATTTAATGTTTATCAGATTTAATAAGATCAGTCTATTCGTGTATCATTCTGTGTACTAGTTATTTTCCATTTGTTTATAATTTGTCATGAATTGGATCAAACAATTTTAATGAACTCATTAGAATGATCATAAGCTATTGTATTGAGATCATATGATCTAACTATCTTATGATTTAACTAATGAAAACAATGAGATCTATTCTTGGTATTGATGATTCCACATGTGGATTTGTATGCATGACTACATGTGGATATTGTGGAGACTGTCACACACACACACAAACACACACACACACAAGGACAACTATATAAATAGAGAACCATACATCCTTATGATATAAGCATGATTCCTAAATCCGACCATTTTGTTTCTTTTTTAATTGAAAGAAAGTTCGATAATATTATTTATTGACGAGAGTACAGTAGAGGGTTGAACTTAAAACAATCGCGATGAATTTTCAGTCAGTTCCTAATCAATTAAGAGATAGTTTTTATAAGTGAGAGAAATTTTATATCGTTAACGGATCTATCATGTCTTTCACCCATAAATTCATTCTTATGAATATAGATTGTCGATCTTCTCGAACTCTTGAAAGGTTTCGAAAAGATTTTCAAGAATCTCTATATTTGTAAAAATGGATAGTGGCTAGCACTGGAATCTGAGATGCGCGTTTTAGGACTCGTCAACTGAGTGTACCCTGAGGGGATATCAATTCTGAGGTTCAGGTACATCCAGCTGACAAGTCTCGAAATAGGACGAAACGCTCGTCCTGGATTCCACTACTAACTGCTATCCATTGTTACATATAATGCTTGTGAATTAAGGCAATATCGAAGCAATGCGCACAGTATGCACATATGCCAATAAGAGACTGATCAATTACAGTCCTAAATATTAATGAGAAGATTCAAGTAAACAATACCAAGTGAATTTAATCCCCATATTGTTCTTAATTAGGATTAGAATTAGGGGTTAAGCGTTAGGGTTTTCATCATGAATCGATATCAGTTATAACGTGAAAATGTTATTTGAGTGAATTCCTCTGAGAATTACAAGAAGTATTATGTAATTTGTCTGTCATTAAAACAGAGTGCTACCAAGTTAATATTTGTTTCAGGATTTAGTAAGTGAGTACTTCATATATGAGGATAGTTCTCATTGAAGATTTCATTTTATTCATTTGGAGCTATCCAGATATGATTTTTATGAGTACACCACTGTTGTACATCCCAACTTGTCGAATGGAAGCATAAGCAAAGGGAAAGTAGGAGCTGGAAATCAAATCCTCAGTGACGATTTCGCTCTCATATGAATGAATGGGAAAATGACCAATATATATTTCATACCTAATACATATTGAACACTGAATATTGAATGGGCTAAACATTTACGGACACGTATCTTATCTCCTCCTCATTATAAATGATACTTGAATTTCACCCATAAACCTAAAAAGGTGTATTCTCGATCGTGATTGGCTAGTCTCTATACTAAAATATACTCTATCCTATACTTATAAGTCAAGAATTGATTAGAGTTGAAATCGCACCATTAAATACCAACTCATTAGTTCTAATGATTAGGCATCCACTGTGAGATTAAACGGTCTTCGATTTAATCCGTGTGGGTGGGGTGGGGTTTCTGGATGTGCGTTTCCGAGGAGTCCTAAACTAGAACAAAACAGAAATTCAGCGTTGAATTCTGGACTCAAACCTAGTATTTTCTTATTTTAAGCACTAACGGATTATCAAGATTCGAGTTGAACATCGACAACGGGATACAGTCACATTCAGTTGACTAGTAGTCCCACTAGACGAATATTACTCTGGTCACCATTAAGTGATCAATCAATTGTATGATGATGAAATTTTTCTAATCTCAGTTCGTGTATTTATCAGACCGATCACATACACGTATATATCTTGTTAATGCTTATCATTAGTTTGAAGTTTATTTAATTTTGTTATCATAAGAATAAGGAGTTTCATTGTTTTACTGATTCACAGGTCAGACATCACAAACATTATCGTCTACAACATCTAATCATTTTACAAGTGTTTTATGCGCTATTCAATATGCTACTGAAAAATTAAATCAATCTGAAAATTCAATTCAATCAAAATTATTACACTCTGATCCATATTCACAATGTAAACAATATACTTCAAATTCACCAGTGGATTATATTGGATCAATGGAATTATCACCGAAATTCTTAGATGATTTAAAATCTCAATCGAAAATACCCATAACAAATTCATCAACAACGGTTAGGTCACATTCCTATGTTCAACAACCACTGATTACGGATCGATTCAATGATATTTTAAGGTAAGTCAGTTTAGTACTGCTAGTACTACTACTACTACTACTACTACTACTACTACTACTACTACTACTACTACTACTACTACTACTACTACTACTACTATACTACTAACTACTACTACTACTACTACTACTACTACCTACTCTACTACTTCTAATAATACTACTACTATTACTACTACTAATAGTGGTACTACTACTAGTACTACTTCTACTATTACTACTACTACTACTACAGTACTACTGTAGTGAACGAGAACATCATTAGGGACAACCAATTATATTTCAACACAAAATTACAGAATCTCTTAGTAAAATCTAACAACCATATAATAAATACTTCATTTGCAAAATATCCATCAATTGTCTCAGACTTGATTGTTCCTTCATTTCTATATCAACCACCCTCTGTTCTCGTTCTCTCTCATTCTCGTTCGATTTTCTCAACCTTATGCCTTCAGGCATTCCACTTTCGATTGGCGATACATGTTATTTATATCTGTGGGCATCAATAGCATACACCACACTACTACTGCAATAACCGTGATAAAAATAATAATAATAATAATAAATGTTGTCATAAAGTTTTACTGAAGTCAATCAAATGTACAGTTCAGTTCATAATGAATTGGTATTTATCCAGCTGACTGGGTGTTATAGTTTTTTTCATTTATTGAACTATAATGAAGTATGTAAGATTATTATGGGATGTAGGTCATTTAATCACGTAATGAATTTGGGATGAAATCTATTTAAAGACTCATTGAATACATGGAATAATGTTAACATGTAATAACAATCATAATAATTTACAGTATCCAACAATATACAACTTAGATGAGTCCTATTTAGTTATTTATTTGAACACATAGATATTGATACAAGGAGGCACCAAATAGATATACGTCACACAAGTCACTTGATTTGTATGTGGGCTGTGATACTTCCCCGGGTGTCAAAACCGAAGCAGGTGGTTTTCTCATGGGGCCACACACGAAGCCTTCGACCTAAAGGTACAATCCACAAGGCAGTGGAGCAACGTCAGGATATGTGGTTCTATGTTAGCCGGTGACCAACGATCGATTCATACACCATTTGTTCCTTCAGGATTCTGGAGACCATGTGCACGATTGGTTCGGAATGAGGGTTTTCCAACTCTCCTAGGCAAATCCTCCATATTGACCAACCCGCTTAAATCGTTGGACATTCGATTTTCATCCTCTTGATTTCGTAAATAACACCTTAGCTGAGAGAAGGGAGTGAGTAGGAATTCCCTACCAGTGGTTGTATGCACGTGGTTACTTGAGAGCATTTGGAGAGGGAGAGCTGACTCTCCCCACCTTCGAGCGTACCAGGGCATTTGGGGGCCGAGATGAATCTAAAGTCAGAAGTAGAAATAGGTATAAGAAATAAACTATAGTTTCAAATAAGTTATAGTTTTCATGTCCAGTGGTTTGTGTTGCTGTGGAGGGGGTTCTCACTTGGTCGGTTTCAACCATCTCATACACTGTGGTTACCGGGGGCTAGTCTTTATTTAAAATCACTTTGTAATGAGAAAAATGTATCTATTATGCAATATTTATCACAGACTGATTTGAGTTAATATGCCATTAACATTAAAAAAGGTATTGGATAGGTGTTCTGTTCTAGTATGCGACTCTTCAGCAGTTGCAAATTGACTGGATTCAATAATGCTTACCATCAGGTCTCAGCTCAGTAATCTAATTGTGTCATATCTAGAGCTTAGATTTTTTATATGCCGCGTATAACTTGAGCACTTGAACGCTAGAACCCTTCCAAGTCGCAAATGAGAAGACAGAAGACAGGTGAAAGGGATGTTATTCCAAACAGTGTCAATTATGGCGTGAAACTCTCAGGTATTTCTAGTTTTTAGTAAGAACGAAATCATCATTATAGTTATCCAGTCCGCACACAGGGGGTTATTAGCATTTGTCCAATAAGGAAGCTACGCGTAGTGATTTAGGAATATTCTTCCAAAAAATGTTTGGATTTAATATCTTCGGCTCTTTCCGAGCTTCTTAGAGCTTCCTCAAGTTCACCCGTGGACCGTCTTCACACCTTCCCCCTTTAAAGTTTGTTGTGTAAGACTTTTTTCTCGGATTCACCTGAAACTTGGTTACTGCATTCCTTTTGCGGTTCATCACTCTTTAAGGTTGTACCGCTTTGTCGCTTATTCGGAAATTTGAAGTTCCTACATTCAATATCAGTCTTGCATTGCTAATGAATCTCATTCTAAGATGAAATAACCAATGATACCCGAACTTATTGAATGAATCCTATTTGAAATTGTAACATTTGTCACTTTTCTTCATTTTGTGTTTGTACTTTTACACTTGTTTCCTTTCAATAACAACAAAAATATTATTTACAGACGATATTCATTAAGTCGTGAAACAAATGATCCTACTAAATTTTCAACTAGTAATACATCAAGTAGTATGAGTAGTGGATATCACAGTGGTTTATCAACCGGTGAACATACTGTTGATCCTAGTCGCCGTTGTAGTGATAATTCATATGATCAATTCATGTTATCAATGAAAGGAGAAGATATTATGAAAGGGAATGAAGATAATTGTATACCATGGGAAATTACAAATAATCAAACAGGTCAATCAATACCAAGAGCATTAATCAAAGGGAAACTACCAAGTAAATACTTATTATTTTATGATATTCTATTTATTCCGTATAAATTTTGTTGAAGTTAGACATCAATGCCGTTGGATACCGGCCGGCTCAGTGGTCTAGTGGTTAAGTGCTCGCGTGCGACACTGTTAGGTCCTGGTTTCGAATCTCGCAAGGCGAGATCGTGGATGCTTACTTCTGAGTAGTCCCACAATAGAACGAAACGGCCGTCGAGTGCTTCCAGGTTTTCCATGGTGGTCTAGCTTCAATTGACTCATGAATCCAACAATTGAATTATTCTGTATATATTCGATCGTGATGAGTATTATATTTTGTTGTTCGGTTCAGCCATCCATTAACAATTCAATAACTATCTATGAAAAGACAAAAGTTTATGATGATTGTGTAGAAAGTTCTGTTCCCAAAGGTTGAATAATAATGTGCACAACTCATGAGCATATATAATTGGATTCGTCAAGGCAAGGATTTGCGTGATCGGGATGACCTTGATTAAGTGAATAATACGTCAATTGACAGTAGTCCCTCAACACTTGGATCTCTTACCTACCATGTAGCTATGTGATAGCAGGTGATCTGTCTAAGTTCCTTAGTATGTTATATCTCTCTTTTTAAAAAAAAGACGATATGGGTGAAGACAATTAGCACCAATTTCAAATCCTAGATTTTCAAGTTGATGACATTTATCAATGAAGCACCTCTGAAATCATAAGGAAAGTGACGCTTCATCAAAGGTTCAAATCATCATTTGCGAAGAAAATAGCTCAACAATAAGGCATTTAACTTTCTTATTGGTTGGTATGCATTCGATTCGTTGAAACACAGTAAATTACTACAAATCATTCAGATGAGCTTCACAAGTCTAAACTTCATCTACCCTGTACTTGTTACTGCTTACTCAGTGATTTCACTACGCAAGAGTAATACATTGAAAGCATCTACGATTAAATACTAGCAACCTGTCTTCAAAAATGCAGCTTTACAGGTATATAACATTACGGAAAGAATTTTTGTTTGGTATTTCTCTGTTTCATAAGGTAGACAGACATTTCATCGTACATTTTGAAGAGAATGACTTGTAACTATATCAGGATCTCATTACTCACTAACCAATCAGAGTTGATAGGACTTTCAATATAAATGAAATATTTTAATAGCTGAATTCATGAGTTGATATAAGCTAGACTACCATTGAAAACCTGGAAGCGCTGAATGATCGTTTTGTTCTAGTGTGGCATTACTCAGCAGTGCATATTCACAATGCCACATACAGGACTCGAACCCAGGGCATTCAGTCTTACGCGTGAATACTAAAGCTCTACACCATGGAGACGGTATCAAACGGTGTTAATGTCTAACTTCAATCGATACATGATCTTGCATAACCCTTCATCCATTGTTTGAGGTGAATGACTATCTCACACTGGACACGGATTAGGCACCACTGGTCAAGACTTTTCACTAGACCTGCAAGAAATCCATCATGAAGCTAGTCACTAGTGAGCATATGATGAAATGAAATAGCTGACTCATTCCCATTTGAATAACTTTCAGCGAAATCACAGCTGCAGACGTTACAATTAGTAATGTTATTAGTCTAATGAGTAGTTTCATGAGATTTTAAAAGATGATTGAATACACGGTTTGAGAGATTATTATCAAATATAATTGATAAATCTTGAATGCGACTTATAGTGTTTGTTTTTTAATTGTTTTGTCTATCTTTTCGTCAATTCAATAACAAAGACGATGCAACTATGTTAAATGATGTTATCAAGTATTCGATTGATTCATCTATGCCAACAACAAGAAAGAGTTATTCATCAACTGTAAACTTGGATGATCTTTTTGATAGAAGTTTAGATACTACTGTGAATAACAATATGACTAATAACAATGACAACAACAACAACAACAATGTTGGTAACACTAATCTTATGAATAGACCTCTTTCAGCGATTGGTAGTCGACGTCATCATTCTACATCTGATGGTTCTGGAAATATCAGCTCTTCAACTGTTGGAGGTACTACTAATACTACGACTACTACTACTACTACTATTACGACGACGACTACAAATACTTCTTATCATCATAATGTTAAATCGAATCCTTCATGGTCAAATGATTCAATCGGTAAATCAAGAATGACACATTGGCATGGTAATAGTAATATTGAGACGAAAATGAAAAAGGTTGTCAATACCAAAGGAAATATATTTCTACAAAGGAATGATTTCAATGTATTCATGGTTAGTTGTTTAATGATAATAATCAATAATGAATGAATTATATCATTGATGAAATGATTGAATCTGATTGAGCAACATTCTTTTTTTTTATAGAGAGTAGTTTTGTTTGTTTACGGTATTGATTATGGACTGATAAAAGTTAAGATACTACTGAAGATCTAGGAGTATTGAAGAATTATCTTGTTCATTTTGAGACAATTTAACAGTGTACATTCATTACTTTGGTAAATATTAGTTCCAGGACTTTTGGATCCTGTCAGTGGAAGATTTCCAAATTCAGTTAATTCAAGATATTCAGTAAGTGTCATCCACTGTGATTAGTTAGTGACCATCTTGCTGTTCATATTGATGAATTTCATTTAGACTCCGTTGGCACCCCCCTAACTGATGTCAGTTGGAAATAAATACCCTCCATAGATCTGATATTATTTCATTGAATCGAATTGAAATAAAGTAGATAACAACGTAAGTAAACTAATGATGGGCTGAAATAAAATGTGAATAAATTAATTGAAACCTCCTGGACATCTTGGTTTTCGAAGATTGTCGATCGGTTCAACAGTTTCCATATTCTCCAAATGCTAAGACGACAATGTTACAGAGAAATCATTCAAAAGGACTTTAAATTCAGAAAAAAAATTGGTGTTCAAAGAGTAGACGTCCTACGTAGTTGATATCATTTCATCCTAGTACAATCTGGATGAAATGAATTCCCTAATTAATGTTTAAAAGAATGCACTAGAAGACCGAACAAATCTACCTTGATTTTTATGATAATGATAAACTAGTATTAAATGATTGTAGCCGTTTAATGGGGAATCTTGTCTGTTTTACTTAAGATTCATGGTAGGTAACACTTATCCTATCCTCTAAGTGTATTTTGAATCTTCATGCAAGACAAAATTGTATCACTAAGTGTTACAATCAGAGACGTTTTCATCGGGTTATGTTCTCTTGTACCATTGAAATACTTCAACTGATCAGTCATTGAGTATTGACCAATATTTGCATAGATTGATTAAGTAACAAGAAACCTTTAGATGTGTAAATGCATCTGATACTAAATAAAGTAAGTAGGTCAAATGTGAAAAGCAGTAACAGTATAAATAAAATATGGATTAAATTACTTTCCGTCATTATAAAGTATAACACATATGTTACAATACACTTGTTCCAATGTTTGTTTTCATTTATCCATATATTCGTGGAAGTTTTCAGGTTCTTCAAATCCATCGCTTTTGTTTAACGTTTACATCATCTTCCTAGTAACATATTATGTATGTATGTGATTTATACGGATTCAGCTCATGAGAAGTTTCCACGTCAATACAACAGGCTGATAGTTGTTCTAGTCATATTTGCATCATTCTTGCGGTGTACACAATCTTCACGAAGCATTTGGAAAGCTTGAGAAGAGTTGGCTTTTTTTTCAGTTTGCACATTTTCTGAACAGTGTAGTACTTCTTAGAAGTGCTGGCTCTGTGGTCTACAGGTTAAGCGCTCGCTCACGAGATTGATAGGTCCTGAGTTCGAATCTCTCGAGGCGGGATCGTGGATGTGCACTGCTTATGTGTCCCATAGTAGGTCGAAATGGCTGTCCAGTGATTCCAGGTTTTTCATGGCGGTCTAGCTTCAATTGACTCATGATCTTAACTATTAAAAAAATTTCTTAGAAGTATTTGATGGTATAAAATAGTCATGCGAATTGTAGTTCTAAATTTATGTAAAGAGACCTGATTAGTAGTAATTTAGAACACAAGGCTTGATAAATAAACTGTATGTTTACATTCAATGATTGCTTTTCTTATTCACTCTTTACTGTCTATCATTTATCCAGAATGTAAGGAAAATCTCCCATAGAGTCATTAATAATTAATCGGTTATAGGAAGATTTAGGAAATGGTATCATCATGTCTTGAACAACTGTTCTATTAAGTGAATCATCATTATTATCAATAATCAGTTTAGAATTATCTCTCTTAATTTTTCTAAGTTTTTATATAGCTTAGTTCATGCATTTAATTGGACAGACTATGGTGAATCTTCCCATTGATGTTTAGGGCTACACACTGTGCATATTGCCTTGATAATGCCTTAGTTCACAAGCATTATAAGCGAAGATAGATAGTGGCTAGCATTGGAATCCAGGACGCGTGTTTCGTCCTATTTTGGGACTCGTCAGTTGGATGAACCTGGATCTCAGATTTGATGTTCACTCTGGGACTCGAACCCAGTACCGTTTGCTTCATGCTAAGTTTGAAACGGTTACGAGCTCACTTAAACTGCGAATGGGAACAAAGACTCGGTGACCAAAAACTAACAAGCTAGCTATTCGATGAGACCCAGCCCCGTTAACTAGAGGAAGAAGTTCAAGCTTGGAACAGGGAAGTATATTCATCAAAAGCCAGAAAACGAGTGATAACAACAGACAAAAATCAAAACGTATATATACAACACAAAACCATCCTTAGGGAGAGTTACAAAATAGCATACGAAAAGACACGACGGACCAATAGCATTCAAGATTCTCTCAAGTGGGAACTACAACACGAAGGTGAAAAGAGCGCCTTTGGCACGAAAAAAAGAACTTCAAATTTTCTATATAAAATTACAAAATTAGGTCCTTTCCCAAGTGAGTTCTGAGGATCTAACGTCCCCAACACTTCAAACGAGGTAATCCACACAGTATACACATATGCCAATAAGAGACTGATCAACTGCAGTCCTAAACATCAATTGGAAAACTTAGGTAAACAATACTAAGTGAATTTAAACTTCACCCCATCGCACAAGGAAGTGGCTATCAGGACTCAGTAACTAAATGGATAACGCGATGGCGTTTGAAACGAACAATACTGGGTTCGAGTCCGGAAATGAACACCAACACTTAGATGCAGGTACGTCCAGCTGACGAGCCCCAAATGGGACGAAACTCGAGTTCTGTATTTCACTGCTAGCCGCTATCCATCTTATGATTTATATGACAATTCTAAGGAACATACTATACACTTTTCAATTGTTACATTATTGTTTCTCTGATTATACTAATGACATTTTACAAATTACCTTAATTTTAGAATTTACCAAATTATAAACAAAATGCTTATTTCATTCAAATGGATGATGACAGTTGTACAGGAAATGAAGATACACGTGCATTTCTATTAGCACAGTTAACAAATCATCGAGTTTCTGAAGTCTACTGTTTAGCATGTCAACAAATTCTGCCAATTTATGATCATTTTCCTGTGATAGATGGTATCTTTTTCATCAGTCCATTATGTCATCGTTCTAATGAAGGTCATCGTAAGGGTGGTGGCCTACGGGTCACTTGGCATACAAATGGTATACAGAATCAATCTGTTCAACAACAACAACAACAGCAGCAAACTCATCGAGCACACAATGCTACTACTAACAACACTGATAACAGTAGTATCAGTAACCATTTAATTTCATCGACAAATGATTATCAATCTATAAATGAAGTAGCTTTGAAACTTTTGGCTCCACTAAAGATTATCTCACCACCACCTGGTTGTCTTGGACCTAGGCAACAATTAAATTCAACACAGCATAATATGATTAGTACTGGTACCGTTGGGGGTGCGGGCTCAAATCAAGGTACTGGTAATAATAATAACAATAGTAGTATACCATCTAGATTTTCAACAAATCATTCATCTACTAGGCAATGCCGTTATTTACATGCTCTATGCTTGAATTGTATGCATTCAGAAAACATGATGACCACTGGTCGAGTAAATGATTTAAAACGTATTAAATGCAAAATTTGTAGTAAACCTTGGTCTGGTAAGTTGGTAGATTTCATAAAATAAATGTTAATTTATGAAAATGTTAAACATCTTCAATTCATTTATCAGATACAGGTTAATGTATTGGGATTCGAGCCAATACTTTAAGTGTGAAAACTAATGATACTACCCTATTGTCTTAAGTGAAGTAAGTAATTGGGGGGGGGAGTTCAAACATGTGACCTAGTGGGTGAAGGTTAAACCCTTTAATCACTGATCCAATAAAAGAGAAGGATTCACACATGTAGTATACAACTCTCTTTGAACCTAGCAGATAGTAATAATATGATACTCTGTCTTATTGCTCTTACCGTATCAGCCAAATTGGACATCAAATGTACAATTATAACAATTGTTTTTCATGCTGAAAAAATAACATTTTGTGGTTTCTAAGGTTGTGATTCTATTAGTTTTTTTTTGGGGGGGGTGACCCAGGATATTTCCTAAAGGAAGTCCAGAGGGGCCCTGAAAACTCTGGGAAACATTTTACCCAGTCAATATTAAGTAGGAGTTCCTCCGAAACATCTAGAAAGTGGAGTCACATATCACATATCTGATTAGATTATTACTTATCCTGCCACTATGTTCAGTAGGATTCCGAAACTTTCCAGAAGTCCAACGTCATCTGGAATGCTACAAGTACCCTCGATTTTCTGCACATGAACTAACCTTGCGGTAAAGCGTTTTTTCCATATTTCGATCCTTCACTTTCGTGTTCAAGTTGTCGTATAGATTTATTCTGATATTATTACAAGAGCTTAGGAAACATCTGTGTATGTTGAATAGATTGTCTCTATATAACCTAAGCACTAGATTCGAATTTCATTGTGAACATCACCACTGGTACATTCAGCTTTTGAGTACTAAATAAGATGAAACGAGTATCGAGGATTTCAGTTCAAGTAACAACTTAAAAATACAAAAAAGTAGTAACACTGTTATAATTCTTTCAGTATATACAAAGACAACAGAGATTGATCAAAATCCAGTATCGAGTATCAACAACACGATAATTCAAACCCTTACGAATAGATGAATATTGATATTTTTAAACAAATATTGCAATGAAATAACATTCATTTCTAGCTTGAAATGCCCTGGTACGGCCGAGGATGGGGAGAGTACACTCCCCCTCTCAAAATGCTCTCATATGGCCACGTGTATATAGCCACTGTCAGGGAGGTCCTACTCATTATATTCTCGCGGTAGGGGTGTTGTTTAAGAAATTAAAGGACGGAAAGCGAGTGTTCCGTGCTTTAACCGGGTTGGTGGACACGGAGAGTCTACCTAGAGGAGTTGAAAAACCCTCATTTTAAACGAATGATGAACATCGGCCCTAGTATCCCGACGGAACAAACGGCGTATGAACCAATCGTTGGTCACAGGCAACCATGAGACAGCATCTCCTAACATGCTAATGAAATATGGCAACTTGGACCGACGTATATATGTGTCTGGTCCTACGTTGTTGCTGACTGACTACCTCATTGTGTATTAGACCTCTAGATCAAAGACTCAGGGTGTGACCTCCTAAGAAAACCACCTAGTTCAGTTTGGGTGCTTGTGTAGTATTCCACCCCTCACACAAATTGAGTGATTTATATGGTACATATATATTTGATGCTTCCTAGTTTCTAATAGTTGTCTAGTTAAAGATCAATTAATTGTTTAAACTATGAAAAAATTTTCTTCTCTAATGAAAATTCATTCAGTATAATCAACATTCAGTCAAATCATACATATTTTGTATTCATCATTGAAAATAATAATAAGAAATTGTCTATAAACTATTTCAGGTCAATTTAAGGTTAAATAGTCTGTTCTTGTCTAGAAACTAATCATCATGCCTGCTCTCTTCCTCTCTCTCTCTCCTTCCCTCCCTCCCTCTCTCTTTCTTTACCTCTATCTCTATCTCTTTGTAGACGTACATTATCATTTCTCTGTTTGTTTCAATGGATATAAAATAAGATTCTGTCTGAAATAGAAATGAGTCACTGATAAGGTCATTTTTATGAGATAATCAATATTTGAAGAATTGGGGAAAAGTTACTAGTGAACTTTTTTTGGCATCATCATCCTTTAAGAATACGCTGAAAGAAAATAGATAATAGACAGACAAATAGAAGTGGGTATAATGATATGGGTTACTAATCAATGATCAAGTCAGAATCTTCAATACGAATGTCAAACACAGTTCTACTGTATGGAGCTGATACTTGGAGAAGTACAACAACCATCATCAAGAAGGTACAAGTATTTATAAACAGTTATCTACGCAAGATACCCAATATCCATTGGCAGGATATCATCAGTAACAGACTTTTGTGAGAGAGAACAAACCAACTTCCAGCTGAAGAGGAAATTAGAAAAAGATGTTGGAAATGGATAGGATATACATTACGGAAATGACCAAACTGAATCATGAGGCAAGCCCTAACTTGGAATCCTGAAGGGAAGCGGAGAAACGGAAGGTCAAATAACACATTACATCGGGAAATAGAAACAGATATGAAAAGGATGAATAACAACTGGAAAGGATTGTCCAGGACATGGTTTGATGGAGAGTGCTGGTGGGTGACCTGTAATCTTCCACGAAGAGTAACAGGTGTAAGTAACTCAGTGATCAAATAAATACAAATATCCCAGGTCTACAGGTGGTCAGTCGTTCGTGGAATAGCGCAGTATTAACGTTTCAGACTATTAAACCGAGTAAAATGGATTCATGTCTTCCAGTGAAGAAGTGGGTTAGTGTTTGAAGGCTTTCAGCCGTCAAAACACTGAGTCCCAAGTTCGAACCACACTCCGTCTACTGCTGTTTGAACAACTGAATAGTATCATTTCCCTCCACAGTTAGAGTGTAGCTCATTCCTAAGTGCTTAGTGAATGAGTTAATCCAAACTTTTTAAAGGTAGTACCAGCTTTCACAGAAATGTTGTCACACCTCGTTCGAGGAGTGTATCCTGCTGGTTGCCTACAAGCATCTTTATATAAGCATAGTGCATATCATCTCGACTAATTATTACGGATAGCCAATCTATATTTGATATACAAAGTGGGCAATAAATACTATACATATATGGTGTTAGTTGTAGTGAAGGCTACTTACAACATTGCTTGTAAATAATATGTTGCACAACGTGGTCTCGAAGTTGTTTGATGCAGTGAAGAGTTTCAGTACAGAAAAAGTACGGTGTTGGTAGGACACTTGGAGACTAGATGAGAAGATTGTTTAGACTGCAGAACACAGCAAAAGATGTAAATGGACGATTGAAGACTATGCATATGCACTATGTAAATGCTTTGTAACTTCTTCTAACAAATATGGATTCCGTTTACCCATTGCTTAATTTTACATTAGTTACCATAAATTCATTACTGAAGTTCAAACAATAATTGCTAGTTTTCAAGTGAAGTTCCTCAAGTGGTTGAGGGACTGTGTGATTGTGTGATATTTCAAATTTACGGGACAGACTAGTTGTTTTATTTAAACACACAAGGAGGTACCAAATAGATATGCACCATACAAGTCATTCAAATTGTGTGAGGGCTGGGATACTGTCCGGGTGCCCAGACCAAAGCAGGTGGTTTTCTTAGGGGGGCTAATCCCCAAGCCTTCGACACGAAGGTCTAATCCATAAAGCAGTGGATCAACGTTGAGAGATGCAGTCACATGGTAGCCAATGACAAACAATAGGTTCATACGGCGTTTGTTCCTTCAGGATCGTGCAGACCATGTGCACAATTGGTTCGCAATGAGGGTTTTTCAACTCCTCTAGGTGGGTCATCCATACCCACTAAACCGGTTAAAGTATCGGATATTCGCTTTTCGTCTTGTCAATTTCGTAAACAACACACCCATCACGAGAATATAATGAGTAGGATTTCCCTAGCAGTGTCTATATATACTTGGCTATATGAGAGCATTTCGATAGGGATAGCGTAATCTCTCCACCCTTGGTCATACCATCATTCTGTTTAAATGAAACCCATTCTTATTGTTGTGTGCATTAAAAAGAATTTTTTTCTTTTGTAATCAATAAGATTATAATGGATTATACATTTCTTTGTACCCCCCTCTTTCTCTCTCTCTCTCTCTCTCTCACACACACACACACCATGACCTTATTCTTGGATATAAGTAGAATGAAAAAATTCTTGTACTTTCCCCTTTATTTATCTTATTTTAAAAGTACATAAAAGAGAAAAAAGTTTTTTTTGTTGTTGTTGGTAAAAGCAGGGGGGGGGGAAAGTACATATTTTTCAAAGAGATCTAATTATTTAATCACTTGGTTGTCATGAGGTAATAAGAAAAAAAACAAACATACTCTCAAATTTAAAAAAATGTAATATATTTTCTTTCTAAATAGTAGTTTAGTGAATAAGAACACATAGGGGAACAACCAAATGTATGTGAATGCAAAACTACAGAATCTCTTAGTAAAATCTATGAACCATTTAGTGAATACTTCATTTACAAAATATCAGTCAATCATCTTAGACTTCATTGTTCCTTTGTTTCTACACCAATAATTCTCTTTTCTTCGATTGTCTTAACCTTCTACCGACAGACATTTCACTTTCGATTAATGATACATACTACTTATATCTGTTGATGTCGGTAGCACACACTACACACACGTCTACCCTTTAAAACAGTCGTTCTTGAGGTGATTCTGCTGGCTGTGTCATGTTCACCGTCAAAATGTCGAGACTGGGTTATTGAAATCCGACATACACCTAGCACCCGGGATGCTCAACACTTGTGTACCAGCAACTTTCCAAGCCATCTACATTCAATTTCTGCTAAGCAGCCACACGTCCCACCGCTCCTCTCTGTCGACAGCAGTCGTCAAAGCCAATGCCACCCGCCCGAACAGTCTACTCGACTTCATCTTCCTAAACCAGACCGCCCCAAGTGGCACCTCAGCTTCAGGCACCTTTCTCCCCTCTTGGTTGACAGTGACACGAAATTCAGTGAACGAGTACACAAGTGGGGACAATCAAATGTATGTGAATACAAAATTACAGAACACATTAGTAAAATCTGTGAAGTACTTCGTTTGCAAAACGTCAATCAATCGTCTCGAACTTCATTGTTCCTTCGTCTCTATAGTAATCATTTTCTGTTCTCGTTCTTTGATCTTCTTAACCTTCTACCAGCAGGCATTTCACTTGCGATTGATGATATAACTTATATCTGTCGATCTCAGTAGTACACTCCATAATGTTATAATGCGTTATTAAAGAAATGCAATTCAAATTCTGTAAAATCTCGACCTTAGGTCTCGCTCGTGAACGTCCAATCTACTGATCACCATTGCGAGGCGGTCGCTCAGTGCCTCCAAGTTTTCGAGGTCTAAGGTCCTGGGTTCGAGTCCCGCGTGAGAGGTCGTAGGTGCGCACTGCTGAGGAGTTACATCGCTTATAGCCTTCAAATACCCTGGTACGGCCGAGAGTGGGTAGAGTCAGCTTTCCCTCTTGACGTGCTGCCACATAACCACGTGTATATAGACACTGTCAGGGAAGTCCTACTAATTATGTTCTCGCGGTGGAGGTATTGTTTACGCAATTTAGAGGGCGGAAAACTAATGTCCGGCGCTTTAACCGGGTAGGTGAGCACTGAAGATCTATCCAGGGAAATTGGATAACCATGATTCTAAACCAGTGGCACACATGGTCTGCACGATCCGTAAGGAACAAATGGAGTATGAGCCAATCACTGGTCACCTGCTATCATGGGACTGCATCTCCTGACGTTGCTTCACTGCCTTGCGGATCAGATCTTTAGGTCGAATACTCCGTGTGTGGCCCCCTAATAATAGCACCTGCTTCGGTTTGGGCACTCGTGCAGTATCACAGCTCACATACAAATCAAGTGACATGTATGTCTCATATGTATTCGGTGCCACTTTGTAACATATATTTACCTGTTCCAATAAATAAATAAATACATAAATAAAATGGTGATCTTACAGTGATTAGTTCATGAGCTCAATTAAATCTCAAAAACATTCACAATCCTATACTGATAACACTATTTCGTATCTCAATTCGCTTATTTCTTGATTATATGATATACTAGTTGAAGAGGTTTGTGGAGATAGGCACGTCATTCAATTGTTACACTGATCACTTAAGAATATTCTAATAAATATTATATTTATTTTTTGTTTATTCTCAACATTTAGGGACTTCATTACTAGTTGGTGGTCTTTACACTTATGATATATTTGCTGCTGTACCATGTTGTTCAGCTCATTTAACATGTGGTTCATGTCAATCACGTTTAGATAATTTATCACTATCATCCAATTCAACAATATCGTCCCCCTTCTCCTCCTTAACAACAACAAATACTACAACAACTACAACTACATTACAATTATCATCAAATGATCTACCTCATCAACATCAATATCATGATCAAAATCAATTTCCAATCAATAATATTGATCAATCGATAAATAATCTTACAATTAAATCTTATCCATTAAATTATTTTAGTCAATATAGTAATTTAATTATTTGTCCATATTGTTCTAAAGTGGATTATCATTTTGTTAAATTATTTGAAGATTATTATGAAGTTAATAATTGATTATTAAAGTTCTTTTTTTTTACATTTCAACTTCACTATCGTACAGGATCATTTCATTATACTTTTGATATTTTACTTCTCAGGGTGTTTTACTTTTTTTGCTTTCTGTTTCAACAAGTTAATACAATCGAGCAATTCAAACAACCAGACAAACAACACAAACACAAACACAAACAAACGGACAAACAGCACAAACACAGACAAACAACCAGAAAAACAACACAAACACAAACAAACGGACAAACGACATAAACACAAACAAACGGACAAACGACATAAACACAAACAACCAGACAAACAACGCAAACACAAACAAACGGACAAACAGCACAAACACAAACAAACAACCAGACAAACAACATAAACACAAACAAACGGACAAACAACACAAACACAAACAAACGGACAAACAACATAAACAAACATAATTGATACTTGAGCTAGAAATATCATCCAATCACATAGTATTTTTTTCATTTTTCAGTTTGACCTTCAATTTTTACTCAGGTCAATGTTTTTTATTGTCTTTTCTTCTTCTGTGTGTGCTCAAAATCCATTTTATGGTGAATGTTTTATTTTATTACTTATTTATTCATTTCAGTAGTATAATACATTTAAAAGAATAATACTATGCATATATATCTATGTATGTATAGTAGTATATAATAATTTATATAAATATCCACTTGATTATATTGAATACATTGAAACAATGTTTAGGAACAAACAAAACAAAACAAAGTTCTTCATTTGTCAATATGTGTGTGTGTGTGACACAAAGCGCCAAATTGTAAAAAGAATCTCCTTGTTCAATGGAACTCAGTTTATATATCTATCTATCCATATCTATACATATACATTATTTTTGTGGTTAGCGTTTTTTAGCGTGTTAATTATCTACTGGATGTGGTTGCTAACCTCATATCCAACTGTTTTCCTTTATCCAAGCTTTAGATCAGCATTAATCCTAGAGGGGGCGGTGCCTATTTAACTATTATAAAGTCAATATTACAAATCATTTTGTCTAATTCAATTTCTGTTTTAAACAACATATAGGTTTATATATTCAAATCATGTTCCATTCATTGTTTACATTATTTTTGTTGTTGTTAAAAAATGATGAGAACGAATAGTTTAAGTTTTTGTTTCCCGCCAAATGTCTATTTCTTTTTGTCAACGTTACCAATGTGAAAGCCTTTCATTGTTTTATTTTTTTGTTAGTTGCCTATTAAAAGTAAATTGATTAATCATTATTATTACGTCATAAAGTGCTACTAGCATTATTTATTTATTTATTGAAGACATGATAAGTAATGAAATCTCAGGGGGGTGGGGGTTTGTTTATGCCCATTTCCTTCTTTTCCCTTTCCCCAGGTATATTTATGTTGTTTTTAATTTAATATAATCAATTTTAATTGTTATAATCAATTGTTTATTGATTTATTTTCTCAAGGTTAAAGAGTTTTGGCTTGTTTAAGTTAAATAATAATTATACTTGGTAAAGCTTTCTGGAAAAACCGATAAGGTTATTTGGATAATGTTTTTCAATCAGGAGCTTATAGACGTCTTCAGTAGAGAGCTATTTGATATTGAAATTGTATGGATCTTAATGCTAGGATTTAAGGTACTATTATGGTGTGTGTTACTTAGATCGAAATGAGTAGTATGTAACGACAGTTAGGAATAGACTGTATTTCAGTAGAAGGTCGAGAAGGAAAGTATGAGGATACAAAGCGATAAATATGAAAATGCAGGAATGATGAAGTCTGAGATGATTGACTGATATTTGCAAAAGGAACAGTCAAGTGTGAGACAGTTAATTGGCATATTGCAAATTAAGTATTTACTGTACGGTTCTCAGATTCGACTATCTCTACTTGTATTCTTGTTCAAACACTTATTGTACAACAATTAAATGATGGTTGACGGTAATGGCTGAGAATTCACTAGATGTCTGTTCATTGATATTAAACTTCTACACGTCCGCTGATAGTTCACTTGGTATATTTTTGATATTAGCTAAATGATGATAGATATAATTTAAAAGAACTAATTATGTGGAAGTGATGAAAAAGATGTGTAGCTCAAGTCGATTTATGAATTATTCGTATTTATTGAAGTCACAAAGTGAAAAACGATCAATCTAACAGAGAAGTATTACATCAAGTAATAGTGTTGAGTGTGCTACTTATTTCGACATAAGTAGTATATAACACTAGTCAGGAATAGAATGTCTGGTAGCAGAAAATCAAGTTGGATGAGGAAAGAATGGGAACAGAAAGCAAATTATATGAAAATTCAGGGATGATGAAGTCTGAGATGATTGACTGATATTTGCAAAAGGAACAGTCAAGTGTGAGACAGTTAATTGGCATATTGCAAATTAAGTACTTAATGTATGGTTCTCACATTTAATAAGGTGTTCTTTAAATGAATGATAAAAACTATTATCCTCAAGCAGCACTCAAAAACATCCTGATAGTAGATCAAAGAGCTATTCTACTCTTGAAAAGCTATCTGACGATACCTATCACCAAATACAAATTTGTGACTAGATAGCTATTTAGCAAAATCCGACTGTGTGTTATTTGTACTAAGTGATGACTTCTTTGAAATTGATTCTACGCTTATTACAATTTCCAAATGTAATACGTTCAGCTACGCTTGTAGTGACTCACATTTATCACGAGAACACGACTGGTTTAATAAAAACAATTATTATTATAACCAACTGTACCAGTGTTTGTTTTAATGTGCTTTTGTTTGACTGTGCTAATGACAGCTATATTGTGCTTCCATTCTTATACTTACACTTTGATTGTAACTTCGCGCGAATTCGGTTACGTTCTGTAACCGAGTTTGTATTCTGGCACGATCTCGGTACCCTTTCGATACCACGAGATCGCCAGCGAATATATCTCGATTTGGTCCATTAACTGTCTTCTGATATTTGGCTTCTCGGGGATTTTATAGATTTATTTGGTTACGTTCAACCTTCGCCTTCTGAAATACTTGGCACGTGTTTCTTTGTATCAGTGTTCATAGTTAATCTCAACTCGACACCACGCTACATGCTCATCTATTTCCGCTTGCCTTGAACTACACTCTTCCGAGACTTTTTAGTTATAAAACCAATCTGAATACTGCTAATTACCATACATAGCCAGCTCGGTCATGAAATTTGTGAAGGTTTATTGAAAAATCGACATGTTACTGAGTAATGTCCCATGGACGAGTAGTGAAACTACTTCATGATGATTGGGTTTTCATATCCGCTTCTGGATTTGTGGAACGTAGGGAGAAGCTTTTATCTGAGTGTTTAAAAAAATGTACAAACAGTATTCAGCTAGTACCTTATCTTTAAAAAATGCTGTGTTCTGTTTCTACGTTTTGTCATAGCGAAGTCGTGTTGATGTTTTTGCAACTACCTCCTCAATCCCAGTATTACATATAATAGTACCATATTTTTTTCCAATATTATTGTCATAATGCTCTTTTTTCATTTTTATAACAAAACTTCTTTCATTCACAGCTCAGACTTCTGCATAGAAATTATAATATAACCAAGTGAACGACTGCCTGGTGATGTTTAGGTTATCTTGTAATGGTGTTGTCTCATAACTAAACGATCTTCGAAGTACAACACATAACAACTAAGGAAAGTTACATTCAATGTTTAAAATTTAAAGAAGATGGAAAATAATGAGCGCAGAAATAATTATTCAATATGGCATAGCTTGACCGTGCAGCCGTGGTCAATTTGTGTAACTCCTTCCATTCCATATTAAATATATTATTCTACCTCCAGCCTAAATTTGTTCTTCAGAAGTCCTAAACACCATACTGATGACTGTCACAACAGGACAACCCAGTATAGAGAATGGTGTGACTCCACGTAAGATTTTATAGATTAAATAGTCACAGTATGGCTAATCTGAGACTTTGGGTCGGTTCTATTATTCTAGTAGCATAGCGAGATGCAATTATATCGACTAAGATCTTGATCGTACAATATCCCACAACTCTATTCTCTTGGAGCAAACAAGGTAATTTGTGTTCATAATATATCAGTTTACAAAAACTCATGTAACCCGCCAAAACTGTTGTAGCACAATGGATTGACAGACCTCACAGAAGCTCACTGGTTATCTGCGAGCGTCTTTTTAGGATAAGTTGAGTGCGCAAAGACATCAAACGGTTTGTAACAGCACAGTACTGTGTTGGTCATTAAACACTCAGGAAAGTATGTGACAACACCCGCTCAGCGATTCCGAAACATGCGTGCGACCTAATTAGGGACTAACCAGAATCACAACAAATTTCAGGAAATTGAAAATGGTCTGCTCTCCCTTCAATATTCTTAAAAGGAGAGTAGAAAAATCTAACTTATTACTAGCTAGTCATAATACCCTCAGCACTTTCAAGAGTAATAGGAAGATTGGTGGATGATCAGATGACGACGTACACAGGAAAGCAAGAGGATTCATTCAGCGAAGTGTTCGTAGTGGTAACGATTCCTAACCACACGATCTTTAGACCCAAACATGAGAGAACTGAGAAAATTTACATCCGATATATAACGTAGAAAGAGAATCAGAGATGGTTGAGGAGGGAACAATTGTTCGGTGTGTCATCGATCGACCTTGAAGGTGTGGTCATTCTGTGTAATTTATTCCTGTCCACAGAAAATACGCTGTTCTATCCCCAGCCAAAATTTATTCTTCAATACTGCTAAACGTCTTGTTGCTGATTTCACGATAGGACGCGTCATCATAGGCAATGATGTGACTTCCATGTATGATCTCATAGATTGGGTAATCACGTCTTGACAAATCTAGATTAGATCTATTACTATTAGTAACAAAGATAAGTGTACTGATGCCGAGTTAGACCACGTTTCTACATATTCTTCTTCTGGCGAATTCATTTTCAAAGCTGCACAATCAAAAATATATACTTATTTCCTAAGGTGATAATAATTACAATTATTAGTGTTAATAATATCCGGGTAAACATTGTAACAGTGAGGTAGACTAAACAAAGGTTTGGAACGCTATTTTTTAGTAGGGAAACTTATATTAGTTTTTTTGTTGACGACTTGAATATTCATTATGAAGACAGATAGTAAAATTATAATTAGGAAAGGAAAGCTCAGCATGATCAGATATAACGTTAAAATT